TCTGATTTTAAGGAATCCCACAGTAGTTTCTTTTTTTTTTTTTTTTTTCTTTAACAGCTCTCTTTTCCTGTGCCTGCAATAGTTGTGCATGTGGTTTGAGTGGTATTTTGGGTTTGTGTGGCCAGGTTTTGGTAGCAGGGGGGCTACGCGGGTAGCTGTAGGTAACAACTTCTGTGAAAAGCTGCCAGAAGCTTCCCCTGTGTTGGGTAGAGCCAATGCCAGCTGGCTCCAAGATGGTCATGCTGCTGGCCAAGGCTGAGCCAAACAGGAATGATAGTCATGCCTCTGTGATAGCATATCTGAAAAGGAGAGAAAAGTTACTGTGCAGTTGTAGTGGTGGCCAGAGAAGAGCAGGGTGAGAACATGTCAGAGGAACTGTCCTGCAGACACCAAGGTCAGTGCAGAACAGGAAGAAGAGGGAAGGAGGTGCTTCAGGTGCCAGAGCTGAGATTCCCCTGCAGACCATGGTGAGGCCCCTGTAGCCCATGGAGGATCATGGGGATGCAAAGTTCTACCTGCAGCCCCTGGAGAACACCCACATCAGAGCCGGTGAATGTCTAAGAGAGGACTGTGAAGCTGTGGGAGGCCCATGCTGGAGCAGGGTCCTGCAGGGACCTGTACACCTGTGGAGAGAGGAGCCCATGCTGGAGCAGGTTTTCTGGTAGGACTTGTGGACCCACACAGGAACAGGCTGCTCTTGAAGAATGGCACTCTGTGAAAGAGTGAATCACACTGGGGAAGTTTGCAGAGAACTGTCTCTGTGTGAGGGGCCCCACCCTGAAGCAGAGGAAGGACTCTTCTCTCTGAGCAGTGACAGAAACAATACGTGCTGAGCTGACCATAACCCCGATTCTCATCTCCCTTGCCAAAGTGGGTGTGTGGCTGGCTACAGGCATTGCTTTTTATTTGTCTGAGTGTCTTGCATCTATGTTTTGCAAAATATGTAGTTCTAGTTGAAGATTTATTATTATTTCTGTAACTCATTCTATGGCATACTCAAATCCTGGATGTCTTTTAATTGTACCCCAAGGCCTTTGACTCTTTTTGGAGAAGTTTCCACTTTGTGTTGGTTCAATCACCTTGCAGATAGGCATTACTGAACTTTATAGAAGAAGGTAGCAGATTTGGTGAGGGAAAGGTGAGGGTGAGGGAACTTACTGTGACCCAAAGACATAAGCTCTGTTTATTATTTATAGTAATATTGGTGGTTTGAGAGCAGGATACCAAAGTATTTGTGGGGGAGAGAAAAGTCATCTCCTGCAGTTCTGGCTGCCGTGTCTGGGCACAGCCATAGCTGGGGACCAGGTGCTGCAGCACAGTGTGATGCTGGCTGCTTCCCTCCATGGAGTGCCAGTCTCATGCCAGCTAAAAGGGGAGGATCAGAAATCAGGAGCCGTGTCCTTATGTGACACTGGGAGTCAAGCAGGGAGCAGGAGCAAAGTTCAGGTTGCTGACAACACATATAATGTTTTAGGTGTCTTTTTTCCCTATAGTGGCTTTCAAAAGCATAGTTGTAGGAGCTTTTAGAAAGCATAAAATAGAGGGTGGTATCTGTCCCTCCCTAGTAAACGTGACTAATACCTTTGCCTTGTCAAAATGCTGAATGTAACTCAAACCTTGAAATCCAGGAAATGATGAGATAAGGGCCAGCGCAGATATTAATATAATCTTAGTTATGCTAAGGAACTGATTATACCCATTGGTATAGTAGTATAATAATAATCGTACATTAATATGTTAGTATTTATAATAAGCAGGTATGAAAAATAGAGAAAGTATATTTTTGTTTGCATTTTCGGCTTTTATTGTATGTGCTCTGGCTTCAAGTAGCTGGGAAATACTTTAACAAATGAAAGCATAGCTGTTAGCTCACAGCAAGTGCTGCCTTTGAGGAGCAAGTGTACCTGTATAAGGGTGGGATTTGTTAGTCTGCAATGTTAATAACAAGCAAGGTTTCTTCTCACGTGCATTGCCAGTGATGTGATGTGATGTGATGTGACAGTCAGTTGTTTGTGGGTGCAATGAGATGTCACAGAATGGAGGAATCCTCAGATCAAAGGGGGAGGATTTGTAACATTTGGTGCAGCTGAGAACATTTTAAAATGTACAGCAGCAACATCTGCTGTAGCTTGTTTGCTTTAGATGACTAACACAAAATTGGATGTGGCCCATGGGTGACTGTGCTTTCTTCCTAGGGGGGCTGTAGTGTTGGTAACATGGAAATAAAAGGTTCTCAAAGAAGGTTTCAGCTGCTCTTTGAGGCTTATATTACCTTAACATCTTATTTCCAATTTAAATAGTGAGGATTTTGCTAGCCTTCACATTTCTGAAGGATTTTCTCCTGCTTACTGTAAGGTCTTCTGTCACTTTGTGCATTAATTATATTGAATAAATATTTTTTCAGTACTGTTGTGCAACAGATTTTCTTTATTAGGCAAGGAAGGCATATGTGTAGGGGACTAGCAATATGACCTTCCCCTGTGATACAGCGGACCCAGACTTTAATTCCTTCAACATGAAAGACAAAAACAGGCAAACTGTTGAAATCAGGGTTAATTTTGTATTCATCTACTACTCTGTCTCAGGCAGGGCCAGTACTGGTTGAATAAGGTATAAACAGCTCAGCAATGGTGCTTTGGTCTCTCCAGCTTTTTCCTGTCTGTCTCTTTATGTTAAGTAATGCTTGATGTTCTATTCTTACATAAATTCTTTTAATGAGAGATCAGATCTGTCATGTCTCAGAAGATAGACTCAATTCCTTTCATACAATAAAAAGGGAAATATGTATGCGAGGCTGCAGCTGGTGGCGTTCAGAGACTGATCCCAGGCTGGCTTGGCAGCTGCTTCTGCCTCTTCAGACATGAGCTCAGGTCTCCATTGCTTCCTGGGGCATGGGGACTGCAAGTGAGTGATAAATCTAACAGAGTAAGCAATGGTGTGACTTCAGGAGAGGATTCATAGTTGAAAAGTCTGAAAAACCAAAGATACCCTTCATAAGTTTGAAGGCACTCCAGTACTACAGATACACCTTCCACGGACTACCACTTACCACAGTATTTTTTGTGGAGCTTGTTCAAAGGAGCATTGTGGGAAGAGGTGAATCCCAGTGAGGTTCTGGAAGCTGTAGCCTCCCAGTCTCTGTGAGTTAAGCTGTCAGTGGTTTACTTTCACTGTGTTTGGTTCCATTTTCATTGAGGGAGGTGAAGACACTGCAGGGAAACACAGCCCTTCCCACATACTAAGCGTTGTCTGAAACAATCTCAGATTCAATATACAAGTGCAACTTGGCCTCCCTGACCTGTGGTGGCTGTCCTGTGAGACTGCCTAGAGCTTGTCTAGCATCAGATGCCCAGCTGCCGAGGACCCTTTATTTTCTATTGCCTCACATCACTTAGCACAGCTACAATTAAACCCTTAATAATGTTTTCATTGCTGCTTTTCCAGTGAGAGACTGGGTGTGAGCAAATTGCAGAGTAAGCTGAGCCAGTAAAGGAGTTCTGGAATACTTGAGGAATCATTCTTTTGAGAGAAGAGACCTGAGTTCCCTGGGATTTGCTGGGTCTGGAAGCACTTGATAATGTTAGCTTAAAGCCTTTCCTCCCCTGCAATACCCTGCTTTCTTCCTTTTGTCACACAGCCTTCTCCTGCTATCTCTACAAAAAGGCTTTCATGCAATCTGGCCTGTCAGCTGTTGCTTTTGTGCATTGTGCTGGATCTGGGATAAAGCGTAAGCTCTTCAATTCTGATGCTGTACAGTGTGGCATGAATGCTGATGGTGCTCTGGTTAAGAATAAGGCAACCAAGCAAACGTACAATTAACAATAACTAAGCAGATGTGAGAACAGTGAGTTCCTAGAAGTAGTTGCATTTTAAAAGATTTTCCTTTTTGTGCCCCTTTCAAAGCTGCTCACCGTGATATTTTCACTATCGAAAACTGCATGGTTAGGAAACAGACTTGTGTGTAGACCTCAGTATTACAAGATCTGTCTTCAGAAAGCCAATTAGTGCTTGAAGTAGAAGCTAATCTACTTCACAAGTGTAATTCCCATCCTTTGCCTTACAATCATTAGCAAGCAACCACACTGCTGAACATCACTTTGAGAAAGAGCGAGCACTGGTCTGTTTCTGTACATCTTTTCTAGGTGTTTCTATTTCTAGAGGTTTTCTCCACTAACCTAACGTGTGTCAGTGTGACCACTGTGTGAAGACAGAACAATCTGCTGCAGCAGAGCTCCTCCAGGGAGATAGCTTAATGAGGCCTAGGATGAGTTCTTAAGTAAAGGAGGTGAGAAGCTATAGAAAAGAAGCATAGAAAAGAAAGATGTGACATTTTTGGAAAGGAATATTACTTATCTGGTAGATGGAAGCAATTCTACTACACATTGCAGGCATAAATAGAAAGCAATTATATTGTACATTGGGAGCCATAAGTTGAGCATCCATCCTGATTACCATTTCTGTAATGAGCAATTAGAAATCAAACTCACATGGATCTCTAAAATACGGAACAGAAAAGCCCCACCCATTTTGTAATCACCATAGTGCTGACAGAACCTCCCCAGTTCAGATCAGTACTAAGGCCACATCCATCCTCTTGAGAAATGTTTCATACATGAGTTTGCTTGGGTTTTACCCAAAACCCTCTTGGTTTATGAACGAATTAGCAAGGCAGTGTCACACTGTGAATAAATGCAACATATCCTCTGTCTGCAGTTCCGTTTTCAACACTTTTTAGAACTTATTAGATGTATCAGTTTGGTCACTCAGAATCTTTACTTGTAGCAGCATATGTATCTAATTTTGAGAAGGGCCAAAAGCTGAAGTTACGGCACCATGTGACGTAAAAATTAAGCTACTCCAGCTCCGGCTGTAATGAGCACACTGTCAAGTTCTATCAGCCTTTGGAAGCAGAGAGGAGGAGAAAATAGAAAATTAAGGGCCATCAAGCTGAAAACAAAAGTCAATGCATGGATTGACCTCTGTGTGTTCTTCATTGACAGGTTGATGACGCCTGGCAGTGAAATTCGGTTTGTCCACAAGCACATGGGCCTGGTGCCAGGCTGGGGAGGAGGTGCCCGGCTGGTGCGGATCGTGGGCAGCGGGGCCGCCCTGCAGCTGCTGGGCGCGGCTGCCCGGGTGGAGCCCGAGAGGGCGCGGAGCCTGGGGCTCTCCGAGGCGACGCTGCTGTCCTCCGAGGAAACCAGAGCGCTGGCAGAGGCCCGGGCCTGGCTCAGTCAGTACACGGAGGGTCCGGCCGCTGTCATTCGGGCTGTGAAAAAGGTGGTGGCAGCAGGAAGAGAGCTCCCACTGGAAGCTGCCCTAAGGACAGAAAAGGACATTTTTGGAACTGTATGGGGTGGGCCTGCCAATTTGCAGGCATTGGTTAGAAGACCAAAACATAAATGATGGTTTATGCATAAGAAATGGGCTTGACCTTTTTGCAAACAAAGCTTTCAGTAAAGCAGCCGTTAAGCTGAATCATTTAAGGTCTTGTCCGTTTAAAATGGCATTAACATTCCTGCCATTTAGGTCAGGCACGCATGTTTGGTGTGCAACTATAGAGAAATCCCGGGCAGATTCTCTATTGTCCTAATCACCCACTGAATCGAGATTAGTGAAATTACTATGTAAAGGTAAATACTATGCTGAAAATAGAACTACAATTCATTTGGAATGAGGCTGAAGATTATTTTATTTGGTGTTTTGGTTTTTTTTTAACTAGTATGGAAATTAATTACTTGAAAGATACGAGGTTTATTCATTTGTGGAACAGGTGCATCTAAAGCTGCAAAATATGAGTTCCCCAACATGAGACCAGTGGCCAGTTGGGGAACTCATATTTTATCAAATATGCTCTTTAAGCAGCTTGGAAAAGATGATTACTAGTTGGAGGATAGCTTTCATTTTTTCATTGTAGTTAGTTCTTTGTGCAATTGCTGAGAAAATATCCTTTAATTTTAATGGTGCTTTTACAGGAGAAGCTTTGAGTTACTCAGAAGCTTTTAGCACTCATTCACTATCACTGATTCAGGCTTTTAAGTGTATTTTGGTGTCTTCTCACTGCTCAAGGAATCAACTACCCACACATGCACCTGCACATTCCCGTATCCTGTACCTGTCCAAAGCTGCTGGTCTGATTCTTTACACAGAATCTAGTTGAAATCTTGGAAGGCTACAATGCATCGTGCCCAGAAAAGGTTTGTCCTTAGGTGACTGGGTGATGTGAGTACTTCAGCATTCTGGTAAGATGTGAGTGGACATGTCTATGTCTTTCTTCAATGCCTTTTTACTGGTGGGGTGTATTTGGGCTGACTAGAAGGTTTGGAACTCAGTTTCCACTTCATGCCAGTGACTATGCAAGGAATTGGATAACTCAGTGAGGAAAATTTTCCCTTTAGAAATTAGAAACTGACAGAGAGTTCCTGCTTTAAAAATAAACATCTGTGAGAGCAAAACCATACAGACATGTCTGTGACTGAGAGAGCTTCCTGTACTGTTGGTTAAGATGCACTTGTCTCAAAATCCAGCAGGGACTGAGATCTGAGCCAAGGACCTAAGTACTCTGTGGGAGCATGTAAAGAAGGGAGCTCTGGGCCCTGTGCACTGATGTGCATTCTTGTTCTGACTAGGTGTAACTGGCTTGAGATCATGGAACAAGCTCCCTTAAGAAAAGAAGGCAGTACCTTGGATGGAAATCCATGTTACGATTTCTAGTGTGGCAGGAGTCCTGAGTTTTAGACAGGAGGTAACTACATATGTTTGAGGACTTGGGGACAAGTCAATGTTGGAAATTAGGCTTGGATTGCCTGTTAAGATTCTGCAAGTTTTGAGCAGATTCTGTGATCTCCTGGGGATATTTTACTGTGTGGTTTTCACAGCAATGAATATAGCCTGAAACAACCAAGAGAAATGCTGAGGAAAGGGATGTGATTTGAGTTGGCATCTCAGAGAAGATAAGGAACCTACCTCCACCCTGTTGATCCCACACCTTTGCCTTAATATCTGAAGCACTAATGGAGGAAGATTTCAAATTTATCTTCCCCAAAAATAAAGCTCAATTTTTTCTTTCAGGTTAGAGAAGAGGCAGGAATGAGAACATGGGGAAGAGAGTAGTGTTTTGGTTTGTACCTTTCTCCCCCTGGCTCCTTTTTATCCAGTAGCACAGTGGTTACTCCTATGTAGTTGTATTCTTTCCCATTCCCTAAAGAACTTCAAAACTGTTACTTCAGAAGAGCTTTAGTATAATCAGGCAGTACTTGACTGTTTAATAGTGAAGCTGTTCTGCTTTTCATGAAGTCTCTCAAGACTCATGAGGGATTCCAGACTGCAGCATCACTGAACCTTCAAGGCACACTCCAGTCCATACTCATCCAGCTTTTAGAAGCAATAGCACTTTTTTTTTTTTTTTTTGTGAGTCAAAAAAATTGTTTTAAAGGGCAACTGATTATGTCTTTGCTTTTAGCAAGAATGAATGTGGAATGTGTCATTACTAATACTGTTACTGTTTTCAAAATTGGTGAGAAAATTACTTAGAACCTGAGTAAGACCCTTGGTTTGTTTTTTTTTTTTTCCTTTGGTGTATTAGGCTTCTAAGTATATTCTGTGTACTGGGTTATAGAAATTTGAGAGGGAAGAAATTGTAGGACAAAGGGAGAATCTGGTTTCTTTCACATTTTGAACCAGATCTGTGCTGGCAGTTAGTGAATGGTAAGTACACCTCTGGGGGATCTCTTTCTATTTTGATTTATAGACAATGAGCTTAATTCTCATTTCAGCCAATGTATTTTCCCAGCCACCCTCTCTGATTTGTATCAAAGGCCAATGTTTGCTTCTAAGAAAACAGGACAAATAATTAACTATTACACACCAAGACACATTCAGAACAGCTTCAGAGAGGGTTATAGAAACACATTTTGCTGGCATCATAAATATGACAAGCATAGGTACAGGACATTCTAAGGATCATTACAGGTTGTGATCAAGGATTTTTGAGTAGTCTAATGCCATATTCTCTGGCTTATTTTCTTCTAAAAGTAAGTAGAGTCCTTCATACAAAAACCAGCTCAGCTAAATTACCATAAGTGCTAGGATGAAAGTTCCAGACTGAGATGAAATGGAATCCCATTTTACCCATTTGAAAGCTAAATGCTTTATTTCACAGAATACTTTCTTATCATCTTAAAGTCACAAATATCTTTAACCAGCAGTTGATGAATGTTTGTATTTTCTTTACAATTATTAAAGATGTCAAGCTTCATCTCAGGGTTTTTTTCCCCTTCTGAAATGGCTTAAAAACTAACAAGCACTAAATGCACAAAATAAATTAGAAGCATCAAATTTGATAGTCCCAGACTCTAATTGAAAAGCATGCCAGCTTTTGTATTTCCTAGGGCCTAGTTTTCCAGCTTCCTCCTCAACAAACTAAGTTTCCTATTGCATTGTGAAATGTGTGTGTGGATTCTGTACCAAGCTTGTAAAGGTGCTGGACACTGGAGATCACTTTTAGCAATACAGATATTCCTGTCTTATTTGCTGCTGATAGAAATATATTTACCAGATGATCAGTCTAGATAAGCAAAGTGTTCTTGCAGAATGTTCGTTATCTATAATTTTTTTTGAGCCATGAAATAGGATTCCTGTATCTGTGGTTATCTATTCTGGAAATAATGAAATGCTGTAGATTTGATAGTGTTTAAATTTTCTTTTTTATTTTCTGTTCTGGTCCCTTGTGCATTTTTTCTGGCTATGCTGCACAAGTTGAAAATCACTTAGTGCATGGAATTACAGTCAACCACATAATGCAGTGTGGCTGTGGCTTTGCTAAAATGGACAGAGAATACATTTCCTACTGAAAGTAATGGTTTAAATATAAGATGGGAATTATCAGTTACTACTTTTCTCTAGCTTGATCTGGGGAATGCAGTTTCTACTCTGGCTGGCTATTAAGGTCTCAACAGCCTTACTTTAACTAATTTTAGTGTTTCACAGCTGCAGTCAGCCAGCAGGAGCCAAAAGCAGCATCACAGGTGTGGGGCTGAACTCCCTACTTGGGTCAAAACCCCCAAGGATAATCACTGATAGAATTATTTGTAGACTGTTTGGGCTGTAAATCCTAAAATTAAGTATATATCATGTCCCATACTGACACATGAAGTGTGTGCACATAACTGAAGTGTTCTCAGTGAAGGCTTTTGCATCACAAACTCATACTTATGTTAGAACCACTGTATACTAACTCAAATTAGAGAAATAGAACAGCTAGCAACTAACAGAAAAAAGCATTCCATCCAGTTTCCTTCCTGAAGTCCATGTAATAGGCGTATTTCCTTATGGGACTGGAAGATGATGGTGAAAACCTGTGATCAAGAGCATTGATTCCTAGCTGAGAATGGAGAAAATCTTCCTTATTCCATCCTAGTCTCGTCTGCACCTTCCTGATCCAATGATCTCACCTGTAGGTAGCAGAGGATAGACACAACTTTTTCCAAGATCAACCAATGTCAACCATCATTACAGTAAGAAAAACATAAAAGATGTTTCAATCTACCATTTTTAAAAGTCAGCCTTTTTGATTCCCTTCAAATGGTTGTTTCCTTAAAACAACTTGTGTCTTAAGATCAATAGTGCCTATCAACTACTGTCCCTTTCTAGTCTGAGATACATATACTAAGAATTGGAGTTTATTAGCTTTATTTTAAAATAAAGTCCAGAATCAACTAATGCTATTTCTCAATCTGAAAAAAATGTTGAAGAACTGCCAGAGAGATAAAAGACAAGCTGTCTTTCTCAAGATCTGGCTTCTGACATTCAGAAGTCTGCTGAAATGCAGCACCTACGCTGCTAATACAAGCACAAAACTACTGTTTCTGTGGTGCCACCATAGTTTTGCTATGAACATACGAACAGCACTCAGTCCTTAATATCCACGTCCTTTGTTATAGGGTCAGCTTTGATAACTTACCCTCTTTTATCAACATTTCTCGTATTAAAATAAGGCTGTGTGTCAAACTTCTGCCTGCCATCAACAGTGAAGTGAGTTAATCAGCTCTTCAGATGCCTGTGTGAGTATTAAGCTTGCAACTCATGATTTTTCAGTAAAAGATGATACGCCTACAGCACTGTGTTTGAGAGACAGCCAGTCCAGGGATGCAAGAATGTCAGGATGCCACTCAGAACTATTCCTCCCTTCTGGTAAACACAGAAAGCTGTTTCATGATAATTTTATTTTAAATTCTTTCAGTGAAGTTCAATTAAACTGGAAACATATCTGAGATTGTTACTGATAAAATGTAGTTTTATTAAATTATAAATTCTGTAACAAAAACAAGACAGATCAAGAAAGATCTCCAAAAACAAAACTACAAGGACTAGATGGCAAAGCCAGTGAAAAAGCCATGGAGAGTGTAAAGGTAAGGATTTGCAACACAAGTTAACAGCATTTTTACATTTCCATTGAAAGAAGGTAAATGATTGCTCTTGTCTAGTAAAAACACATTTTAACTCCAAACTCACATCTATTTTCTCACATTAAATTAAGCATCCTGCTCACACCCAATACCTTGCCTGATTCCACATAGCTTAAGTGTTCTTTTCATACATCAATCCATGCAGAAAGTAGTAAGACACTTAATGCAACAGTCAGATAATGAAGACAATTCAAGTTGTACAGTAGATATACATTGGCCAAAAAGGGATAGAGTATCTTCAAGGGGAAAATGCTACAAAATAAACACAAGACATTTTCAAGAAAACTGGGCATTGCTAAACAGCTTTTAAACCATTAACAGGACAACCCAGTTTCCTAGAGTTAAAGAGTCCTCCAGCTGAGACATATTAAGAGACTTAAGTTAAAACAGGCCAAATCTGTTTTCTCCCCTTCGCCCCACCCTCCCACCAAACACACTGCTAGATTTGAGTGCAATGCCAATGCGGACAGAAAATGTACAGAAAATTACAACTGAGTATTTTTTTCACATGGCTCTAGATTTAAACTTCAGTGACTGTGCACTGTCCATCTGGCCTTCTAGATCTTACATTTGTGTTTGCCACCCCACCCCCTGCTCCTGCCTGGCTTCCACCAGCACTCAAGTGTCTCTGCTGACCAGAGGACAGGTGTTGCTGAAAGTGGGCAGACACATCCTCGCTGTCGCTGCTGGCATCCGATTCAGTCTCCTCAACAGAGGTGTCAGGGGCTGGCACCCTACCAGAAGATGATGATTCGTGGTCTTCTTCTCCCTCTCCCCTGTGACTCCTTTCAGCCATACTATCTCCATTTATTTGCAAGTGGGCAAAAGAGTTCTCTAGAGAATTGCTTGCATCGGGTGATGGTGTTGAAGGGCTCACCAGCTGACCATCTAGTGCTGGTAGGGGCCTCACAGAAATGGATGCTAGAGGCTGCACAGCTGCAGCCCCTGGAGTCAGTGTGCTGTCTGCACCGTCAGCGGAGCTTTCTCGTGCCAGGCTGACAGTGTTGGTGTCACAGTCCAGCCTCAGCCCAGCCACTCCCTTCTTTGGTATATCTATTATGTCCCGTTTTATTTTTCTGCGACGCCCATGCTCGTTTCTCCTATACTGAACCATATTTTCAAGGTCTGCCACATATAAAAACCCAGCAATTAGCATTTCAGTGCTCTTTTTACCCTTGGAAAAGGCATCTTCCAGCTCTCTGCTGGTACGTTCATCATACTGCCACCAGCCATTTCTACCTTCATAGTACCAAGCATATTCTCCATTGCCTCTGCTTGCTGCTTTGAGTTCTTCGGGTGACAATAAGGTTGGCTTGTCAAGAAAATCCTCAGGAATCTCCTGCCGGCAGAGTGCACATCGTTTCCCAAGCCAAGAAGCGCCCTTAACACACAGATAGCAGAAAATATGTTTACAGGGCAGACTTACTGGATGGACACACGTTTGCAGACAGATAGCACATTCAGGGACTTGCAGGGAAGGTGCTGCATTGGTACATGACTCATTTGTCTTCCTATTTGTGGGAAGCATGTTGATCGAATGATCTATTTCACCACAGCCAGCCATCCTGCAGAGAATCAAAGAAATTTAAATCAGTTTATTAGGTCAACTTAAACTAGCACCTTGCATCACATTTCACCTCAATATCCACAGAATGAGATGTTTATTTCAAAGTAAGGTAAGTTACTGTTTCCTGAGGTGACAAACTACATTGAGTACTGGAAAGATTTCTTTTGCTGATCAACCTTTTATCTGTTTAATTTGCAGCATGTTAACATACCAAGTCAGAAAACAAACCTTGGAATTTCCTCTGTTCATTCACTGAAGTAGAGTTTATTAATGAACCTTCATCCAATCAGTTACTTTGGTGTCTCCTCAGGAAATATAAAGAAATTATGGTTCTTTCCTTAAGAGGTGACGTAGCTGCAAATTGAAATTAAACAATCTCTCTTCAGACTAGAGGTGATCATCTGTTTGATTAAGGGACTTCCGGAACAATATCTTGGACTAAGTTTACACAATAGAAAATATGCCTGACAGCAGCACCCAGCTGAAGAGTTTTCCCACTCTTTTTCTTAGTTCCCATGCACCATAGTACACTACCGTCAAACTGAGCTCAGAACAATCACAGGGCTGCAGAAAGAACCAGATCTGAAAACTGAGGTGGCCTTTTCAGAAGATACCTTGGACTCCTTTTTCTTAAACATCAAGTGAACTCCCTTATATAGACGAGTGCCTCTTGAAAGGAATCACTGCAGACCAGCAGAAGCAGCAGTGTATTGCAGAAGACACGCAACTCTGACTTGTTTGGCTTGTGAAGTCATTGCCTTTACTTTCTCTGGCCATATCTTATTTCTGTTATTAAAGATGATTTTGTAACTGTAAGAGAATGGGGAACGCAAAACTTCATCACTTTGGCATCATGTAGGACTTAAGCAGTTGAAAAATTCTAGCCTAAATATGCAAATGCCTTCTCAACTACATTTTGCCATGGCAATCTTTCATGGTCTGTTTCATGGTAATTTTCCTTTTATTTATTAGCAATCAAAACCGAATACCAGATACCAAATGAGGGAGGGGAATGGGGCCTAAAAAGGTGCCTTTTTTATTAAAAATCCCCAAGAAACTTCAAGACTGATATTAAACAAAACAGCCTTTCGGTGAAAGTAGTCTTTGTTGTACGGGCAGCTAGGAATAGTTAATGCAAAACTACAACAAGCATGTTGGCCAAAAGGGACCTTTAGAGTCACCTAGTCCAGTCTCCTGCTTCACATGGCACCAACACCAATTCTAGATTAGACTAGCTGTGGCTTTGTCTAGCTGAGTTTTTTTGACATCTGCAAGGATGGAAATGCCTCAGGCTCCCTGGACAGTTGTTCTAATGTTATACACATTTCTAAAAGAATGTGTTACCTCAAGAGAAAATGCCTAGTATTACTGTAAAAGCTTCCAGTGTTTTAAAAATCTTACAAATATATGCTGAGATTAAACAAAAACCTATGCTTCAGTATCTATATTTATCTTTACAATAACATATCATGTGCTACTTACTTAAAAACTTTTCTCTATGCTGTCTGTTCCTTTCTATCACTAAAATTTCCTCTTGAAAGACCAATGCCTCTTTAATCCTTTTTTTATCAAATAATTCTTTTAAAAGCTCTACAGCTCAAATACTTTTTCCTGAAGCAGCACAAAATTGTATCCATCTATGTTTCCATTTATATCTGAATTTCTTCTTCTGAGATTAATGACCAATCTGCATAGCAGTTCTTAAATCAGCATGCCAGATACACACACAGCATTACCCACCAGCTGGCAATTTTGATTTTACTGCACAGCACACACCTGTGAGATCCATTCTAACAATGTTGTGAACAAGTTGCTATTTGAAAGCCTCACACTTATGAGGATATTTTTTGCAAGAGACTTTTATAGCAAATGTAGGGGTTTATGTCAAGAAACTTATTAGAAAAAGGGGAGAATAAAGTCTGTTGAGATTTCAGAATACCACCAACACAACCCAACCATCATTTCACAACAGAAGAGCTGAAAGAGAAATCCATTTGTTGATTAATTTGTGCTAACCATGGCTGAGGGAAAGGATCCTAATTTTTAAGTGCCCCCACAATGAGATAGTACAATGCAAAAAAAGCACAGCAGCAGAGATTTTTACTTCCATGCTACAGTTTTATAAAAGGATGCTTCTCCCTCAATATCCTTTACAAAATTATCCTTTTCAGAATAAAAGAAAAGATTAAAACAACCTGTAGGTAAGTAATTTCTATACAAGTCACCTATCATAATTAAGATTTTGGAAGTGACTAAAATGCAACGCGGGGATCAAAAAGGCAATGCACTTTGACAAACCAAATTGTGATACCATGAGCTGATACCATGTTCACTGAAAGCAAAAAATGCTAACATCTGAACATGCTCAACAGGTTGCCCATTAATTTGAGGGATCTTTGGTTCCTTACTAGATCAAGGTAATAATGCAGGATATGAAAAGGAGTAATTTTTTTTAATTCGTATTTGATTTTTAATGACTCTAAGGAAAATGTTATGTATAAAATGAATAGAGCTGGAGGAGCAAACCCTGATCTCTAGAAGTGCTATGCAGGAACATAAAACTCTGATATGATAAGCACAACTGCAGTTGCATGTGCTCAGAATGCAGGACAATTATGCGCTTGAAGATTTATATCGACTACACAGACTCTGACTCACTTTTTGTTTTTAAAGTATGATGCTAATGATTTTTTTTTTTTTTTAATTAACCTTTTTAATACTAAATCTAGGTCATGGAGCTTGTTTATAAGCTGGTAGGAGAATGTACACATAGGTTTTTACTGAAGAGGTAATCCTTCATGACAAACATCTTGGGCTGCTATTCTGCTATGTTATGGCTGTGGAAGCATTTCCACTGCAACTTCATCGTACTAAGAATTAAACAAAACTAACCACACAGTACTCTTCCTGAAATTAAAAGTAATATTTTATAACAGGGTTCAATCAAAACAGGCTTTACATCAGAACAGTTATCAAATAGGAAAACTCGATTTTTGGGGGATTGAGTGCCCTTTAAAACACTGGTGGCATCATAAAAAAATCATATTCTTGACTACTAACTAAGAATCAACTAAACTCAAGGAATAATTCTAAAAATAATTTTAAGTATTTAGATTCTCAGTTCAGGTATAAATAAGGGACCAAAAAAAAATCTGAACTCTGCATTTTAACAAATACAGCCTAAAACTGACTGAGACAGAATTAGTCAAAAATCTTGCAAGATCCCACCTCTTGCAGTTTTTATTGGTAATATTAAATAATACAGTTAATTTCTAAGCTATGGGGCCTTCATCAATACATGAAGTATCAAAGAGGTGATGTGTAACAATTACATGAAAAGACCCCAGGCCTTCTTGGACTCTAACTGAAGAAAATGCAAATTCCCACAAAACCACTTCAAATTCCAGGTCAAATTATAACTACAACTAAGCAGTCCATCAAGGAGCTGACATGTTTAAGTTTAACAAAATAACAGCTTACTTTTGCTTAATAATTTCTACTGAAGCATGCCACAAGACTGAAATGTCCTCTCTTCAAACGTCTCCAGCTAGGATAGCAGGTCCTCCTTCCCAAGGCTGGCTCATTCCTGACTTGTCCTGCTCAGTGGTACACTACAGCATTCCAGCTTCTCTGCAAACTAACAGAAAGCAAATAATACCACCGTTACAATGTTGTCCGGACGCACCAGCATAGTACAATGCCATGGTTCTGTTACAGAAGGGAAATTACTATGCTTTTATTTACTTGATGCATGTTATTTTCAATAAAACTATCACCGGATTTCTGTTTTATTTTTTGTAACCATCAATTTTGATCCACAGTTTTTATTTTTATGTCTAGCTCAAACAAATAATCTTTTTTTAAGCATTATAAAAGGCAATTATTTTTTACTATAGTAAGTTAATTGCTCATTTTCATAAAGTGACCTCACAAAAGGAGTAACACAAAAGGAGAAATAAGACCAAATTTGGGAGGATGTTATGTTTATGCAAATTTAATCTCTAATAAATGATCCCTAATATTTAGGAACTCTAGAAAGTCACAATGGCTTCCTGATAGTTTTTATAAAACTGTCTGTATCATACCCTTCCAAAGGACCATCTAGCCATGTGTCTTGTCCTGACACAGACTAGCATCAGATGCTTGAGGAAAAAGCAGTGCACACTAACAGCTGAATTCCAAGTCTCCTCCATATTTCAAGCAGAAATTTGCCTCTTCATATTCCAAGGCTCAGAGCCTTGAATCCTCATCCTCTTTTACATAGATACATCCATTTAATGAACGAACCTCAGAACCACTCAGTACTTTCTTCTTTATAAACCTACATTTGCATGTCCTCATACCAGCTTATAAACAAATATTTGATACCTACCAAGGTAAACAAACAACAACAAAATTTTCCTCTATTTCTTTAAAATGTCCTAATGGGCATTTAATGTCCTGATGTCCAAGGTTCAGCAATGGAAACAGTGCATATGAGCTCTAAAAAAAGAGGACAAGGATTCAACTTAGCCTCCACACCTCACAGGTAATATACCCCTCTTTAGGCTAGAAGATGATGTCAGTCACAATATATTTGGTGAATGCCACCAACCAGAATCTGAGCCAAGTCACTTCAGTTGAACACAATAATCACTAAGTGCCTAACAAATACCTGAAAAGTTCCTACAGCAGGGAAGTAGGAATCTGCAAACTCAGAAAGGGAAGGGAGACCATCACTCTTGCATTCTCACAACCTAAAGACGAAGGTCTTGACCTAAGAGAACCACCTTCAGTGGTTCCTTTGTAAAAAGACAGATGAGCCACAGAATCACCTCTTCTTTCTGGTCTGTAGCTTTCTGGATGGTTCTCAAACATCTTGGACTACAGTTTCTAGTTGCTGCAAAACATTATAATATAGAAATGATTTGAAGTAGACCTGAGAATGTTACCTCTTTGATTTCAATTTGTTCAAGGAAAGAATCATTTCAGCATAAATACAGTGCAGAGCAGACATGTGAGAGTTAAGTCAAGGAGTGGTAAATCCCTGAAAGAACATGGAATATTACAGTGTTCTGTGCTACAGTCCTTCATCAAATGATCGACTAGTTATCATTAATAATATTAGAGTGTTCAGATGGCTTCAGTGCATGAAGCAGTACTCAAATATGTTATTTTCTTTATAGCTGAGCTCCATGTAACATTTTGTACAGCTATTTTTAGAATGAGCTCCAAAAGAAAAATGCAAAAATTAACAAGCCTATCCACACCTTTTCTCCTCTCATAGTTCTAGCAGATTTCCTTTCTTCACACATCTATCTGAAACCAAGAGCAGCAATCGCGTTAGAATTGTGGCTCTACTAATTCGCTGAGACAAGCTACTATGTTTTCTATGATCAAAGAGACAGCTGCAACAAGCTTGATGCTCTGGGTGTGGTAACCAGTCCTTCATCTGGGGAGCTGACTTTCTGTTACTTCAATAGGTATCACCTGAAGTCTTTTATCTACTCCCTCTCATAATGCACTACTAGAGGTAGCGCATCATAAAACCAAATGCTATGTGGAAATGCCAGAAAAAGGCTGGGTCAGTTCTCAGAGATTTCTTAGTAAATAAAAATGCATACACATATTCAAGATATGTAATTATACCTAGAAGAATCCAAGGAAGGCATAATTACAGGATTGTGATAAGGCAACCTTCCAACTGCAGCAAAGGTCTTGAAAAGAACTAGTTCACCCACTGACATCGAGTAACCGCTACATTTCAGGACATTGCTACTCATTTAATAAGCCAGTCTTGAAAATTCTACTAAAGTCTACTAAATGGACTGACAAACACTTGTGGTTACACACATACCCCTTCTTGGATGAAGACTCCTCCTTTGAAGTCATCTGGGTAAAGGCTGTGCTCTATACTTAGCAATTAATTTTCTCTTTTTCCTGTACTACGAGGAGTAACACTATCTGCAGCAACCTGCAGATATCCCTTCCTAAACGCCTGCATCCTATCACATACTGATTTTGAAACTTCAAAGATGCAACTGACAGAAGGACAATGTCACTGATCAGGACCATCCCCATCCAAAATGAGGCTCAGCCAGCATGGAACTGTTCTCTTTGCCCCTTTGAAAGTCTCTCTTACTGGGAGAAATTATGTCCACTTCTTCCATGCTTTAAAAATTTGAAGTGGTGAACTTCCTACCAGACCTATCTCCCAAAATGACTTCAGGTTCTCCTTAAGAACAATGTTAAGCTTTTACTAGGTCAGGATAGAATTAAGCCATTTCTAGTTAGTTCAGCCAACTGTGCTTGTTTAATTATGAGACCCAGTAAATTATCAGGCCCAGCACTATTTTCCCACCCCTTATTCCTTTGGGGAAAAAAAACTAGCAACAATCACCCCCCACCACAACTAACAGCCAACACCAACCCACCGAAACCAAAATCAGAAGCATACGTATTTAGGAAGCCAGCTCCTATATATTGATGAAGAGTTATCTGTAGTCTTAAACTTTCTCTGTAAGTAAAATTTTAGCTTTTTAAAAACACACAAGTGCAACACTGGTGAATTCAACAAACATCAGCCAAAGACTATTAGACTATTATATGAGTCCTACTTCAAATAACAGAAATCTAGGAATACTGCAACTCCATACAGAATATTTTAAAATAGCTATCACAAATTCATCATTTCTCCCCTTGAAAACACAGCAGAATTACAGTATTCTTTCACGAGAATTAAATACTTGGATTTTTTTTTTTCCATCAAGCTCCCTAACTCAATTTGTGGGTAGGAGGGGAAAATAATCCCCTTAATTCTGCCCTTCCCCATAAGTAACCATGAGCCAGACAATGTGGGAAGAAAGAAAGTAGCTGTTTTATTTAATGAGAAAAATCACTCTCCTGTCTGATGGTCTCCTAGTGTCAATACACTACCAGCTCAAGGTACTGAGTCTCATCAGATATGTTTAAAACTGTCCCTGATACTAGATAGCACGACAGATAAATAACCTCACTGTTTCCTGTGCTTGCCTACTTTTTTCTATCTGTTTCTTAAACCCAGAATATTCTCAGGAATTGCTGATTGTGATGAGGCTTCAAGATGCCTGTCATTCCTAATTGTTGGCTATTGCATATTAGTAAACCCCAACATTTATACATACACTTGGAACTGAATTATAGAAGAATAGTCAAGTGCAGAACAGTCAGCCATTTCAGTATTAAAATACTACATGTATTGAAAATGAGGTTGTTCCCTATGCTACAGTTGGAACACTGATCTTGAATTTTGAGCATATATACTATTTCAATCTATTTAACAAATGTTAATTGCTCACTCAAAAGCAAAAGTGTGCAAAAAATGAAGCAGAAACTGGTTCATCTCAAGTTACCAATGCTTCAGAAACTCAAATAAGTACAGGGACATCTCTTCGTGTACATATATATAGACTTGATTAACATTCACAGAAGAGAGGAAAAAAAATCAATTTCAATATGAGGACTTTTCCAGGCACTCACTAGTCAATAAGCTATAAAAATACTGCAATTCCAGCTCTTTAAATAAATGACAATTCAATTACATCTAAATTGATGCAATATATTTTGAAGGAAACAAGAACAAACTTTTTTTTCCCACTCACTACAGATTTTGTGTTATAGCAATTTAAACAACTGGCACTTCATCAGACTTGGAAAGAAACTACTGTATAAAACACACATGACTATAAAATAAGTTCTTGCAAAAACGTTCAATATTTAAGATTTATTCAAAATTCATTTATTCAAATGAAGATTCAGATATCAGCATGTCTTCAATACTATTACACACTCTAATTTTTGGTACTTCATTTCTAGAGATGCTTCAGAATCTATTTTTGAGTAGCCCACTATCCAGAGGCATCAGCTAATAAAGGAAGGATGGGGTTTTTAGTATTACAGACCTGATAGAAGCAAAACGTTTTAAAGCTCTGCTCCCTACTCCTCCTTGTAATTGTTAATATAACACTGCATATTACTCACCAGCAACAAAACCTACAGCGTTTCTCAGGCATATCACTGTAAAGTTGTACTAAGATTAAAACCCCCCACAGTTTCAGTTTAACTATTTCACCGTTCCGATCGTCTTGTTCGTACAAAAATCTCGCGCTTAGTTAATACTTTACAACAGTTTTTCAGTGTCAGCAACACGCACCGCACCAAAAGCGAGACCCGTTTCCCCATTTCACGTCCCCTTTCAACATTCCGAAGGGATGCAAAGCAAACACTTGAGCCGAGGCCGTCAAGCACACAGAAACAAAAGCACTTCCATTAGAACACTTAGTTACTTCTGTCTGGGTGCCGCTCGGCTGACGCGGCCGGCGGCAGTGACCGAGGCCGGCCGGGCACAGCGGGGACATCCGCAGGGGCGAAGCCGCACATTCAGGCGCTGCACATCGCCCTGGCAATTAGAGCGCTGCGCCTGCTCGGCCAGGGGGTTCCGCCACGCGTGACGCCGCCACGGCTAATGCTCCTGACCTATTTCAGTGCCCAGCACAACGAAATCCCCGACTCACAGAACCAATTCGCTTGGAAAAGCCCTCCGGCCACCCAGTCCAGCCCAAGTCCGGGCCCGGTCAGGCACTCTGCGCGCACCTCGCTCCGCACCGGCGGCGGAGCGCCGCCTCCTTGTAGGAACACGGCTCCGCGGAAGGGGGCCTGGCCCGGCAGGACGGACCGGGAGGCTCAGCCGGCGGTCCCGGCTGTCGCTCCCAGCCTCGCCGTGCGGGCCTCGGGCAGGGCTCCGGGCAGGGCTCCCGGCAGGGCTCCGCCGCCGCGGCCCCGGCACCCGGCACGTGACCCCGCGGGCGGGGCGGCGGCGGGCGACACCCCCCACCCTCCCCGCAGCCAAAACAATACCGGGCAGGGCTCTGCCCGCCGGGCGGCGATCCCTCGCTCGGCTCACCGCGGCTTAGCCGGCCTTTTGTTCCAGGCACTCACCCGCGCAGGAAGGCCGCGGCGCCCGCTCCAGCCCGGCCGGCGGCGGAGGGGCGAGGGGCGGCCGCGCAGGGGGCGCTGTCGGAGCGGCCTTTGGTGGCCGAGGCCGCCGCCACCTCCGCCTCCCCCGACCGCTCCAGCTCGGGCGCGCCCGCGGCGGCGAGGGGACTCACCCACCGGGCCGGCCCGCGCCGCTCGCCCCAGCTGCGCTCGCGCCCGCTGCGCTCCGCCCGCCGCCACCTGCCGCTCCCTCCGGCCCCGCCGCCGGGACCGCGGGACGCGCCGACGTCACGCGCGGGCCGGGGCGGCCGAACGCGCCACCGTGACGCCGCCGCGGCGGGGGCGGGGCCGGGCCGGGCACGGCTCGCAGCGGGGGCGGGGCCATGCGCGTGATGGGCGGGCAGGCCGCGCCCCGGCCCCGCGGCGGTGCAATGGCGGGGCTGCGGCGGGGCCATAGCGGCGTCATGGCGGCCCCGCGCGGCGCCCGGGCTGAGGGGGAGTGGAAGTGCCCGGCGGTGGGTGCCTTGCGGGGGAACCTTGCCAGGCCCCGCCTCACACCTGGGGGTCTCCGTCCCAGACCCCCTGCCCAGGTCGTGCCGCCTTGTGGCCGGCTGGCCGTGGCTTTAGGTGCCCTCTAAAGCCGCCCTGGCACTGCCCGCCGCAGCTTGGCAGGGGTGGGGCGATTTCACGAGAGGCTCGTGGATCAGATGGGACAGGACGAGATCACTCACGAATTGCCGTCGTGGGCAAAAGAATCTTCACGTGAGGAAATGAATTTAATACCAGTCAGAGCAGGATCATGACAAATAAACCCAAATCTAAAAACGCTATCCTTGCCTTCCTTTCTTTCCCAGCCGATTCTTGGCTTCCCAGTCTTGATCTTTGGGACGCAGTCCTTCAGGACCAGCCTCCTCCAGCGGGTGCCCCCTCAGAGCCACAAGTCCTGCCAGCAAACCTGCTCTGGTGTGGGTTCCTTTCTCCATGGGGCCACAGATCCTTACAGGAGCCTGCTCAGCACAGGCTTCCCACAGGATCACAGCCTCCTTCGGGCACCCACCTGCTCTGCCCTGGGGTCCTCCATGGGCTGTGGTGGATCTCTGCTCGCCCATGGACCTCCCTGTGCTGCAGGGGCACAGCTGCCTCACCATGGTCTGCACCAGGGCTGTAGGGGAATCTCTGCTCCAGCGCCTGGAGCAGCTCCTCCTCCTTCTTCATTGGACTTGGGCTCTGCAGAGCTGTTGCTCTCACTCCCATTCCACTCTTCATCTGAAGTTGTGCAAATGTTTTTCCCTCTTTAAATCTGTTATCCTACAGGCACTGCCCCTATCTCTGATAGGCTGAGCCTTGGTCAGCAGTGGACCCATCTTGGATCTGTCTGGCATTGGATCTGTCAGACACAGGGGAACCTGCTGGGAGCTTCTCACTGTAGCCCCCCCACAAGCCCCTGTCACTACCAAAACCTTGCCTCACAAACCAAATACATCAGAGATGAAGGGTGTGGAAGCAGTGGGAGCCTCAGTGTGTGTATTACCTGGAGCTTTTTGGCCAGAAAAAGTAGGCAGGCACACTTCCTTGGGATTGATTGTTCAAGTGCCTGATGGCAGTGTTGGGGGAGAAAAACTTGCACAGCTCTGTGATGTTTGATTAATGTGAAGGCAGGTTGCAGTTGCCCTTTTTCCCACCGATGAGGCCAGACAGTGGATTCAGTAGGAGGTATGAACAGTTGCTAGCCTTTCCAGAAACATATTCTGCAGCTCAGGGAAACTGCAACTCATTTTTTGCCTGAAAATTTAGGTGGCTTGACAGTCAGACATGTGCCTCATGCTTCTGTGCATTGCCCAGCTATGCTTGGGTGGCTGCAGAGATGGTCACCCATAGGTGGAGATGGACCTCGGCAGGACCCAATGTAACTGCAGAGGGTCAGAGTATCCCAAGGCTGAGCTGCTCCTGTAGGTGAGGTGCAGGGAGGAAGCCTGTGCCACCTGCTGTTGTCAAATGAGAAGACTGCTATATTAATATTTTAATAAAGCAGGATGGGAAACAGTAATCCACATATCATTTAGGCTGGAATGGCATTCAGATGGGAAGAGGGACTGTGTGTCCAGGTACTCATTGCACCTAAATTTAAAACTAAATGCTTACGGATGCAAACTGTCTACCCAAGGGCTTGTTAAAACTAAAGATACTGTTTGGCTGCTCTTTTTGATTTTCAAACCCATGGAAATCACAAGCATCAGAAAACATAAGAGAGGGCAACTCTAAAAATACTAAATTCTAAGTATAATCAGGAATACCAAAAGAAATGTTGCTGTCAAGACAGCCACAATACACAGAGTATCACCACACAATTTCAGAAGGCTGTAACATTCACCTACAGAGAGTAACACCATTCCACATCAGACATCATCAGGTGTCCACCCATATAGCGTAACATTGTATCACCAGAAAACACAGCGTCTCTGCCCTTCTTGTTCTTTAGCCCAGCCTTTTATACCCCTCATCTTCATGCATTGCACCTGTGTGCCCTCTGTTCATTTGGTGATTGGTCAGTGCATTTGGCACTCCATGGCTCACTGCTGTCAATGCTGCTCACCTGCTTTTCACAGCTGTACCCACTGGGGATGAGGCTTGGCAGCAGCCCCACTCCCAAAGCACAAACTGTGTACCTACAAAGAAATGCATTTTGTTGAATCACTCACTATTTTCTAAAAGCTGAGAAAAGCCTACCCAAAATTTGCACTGGTTTTAATAAATGTGACATGTTTGCATCCAAGGACAAGCATTTACGTGATAACCTACGTTCTATTTAGATAGTGTTGTGTGAGGCTGAGTCAAAGACTAGAGGTTAGGGAAAAGGAAAGGTCTCTTACTGGTAGTGTGGGCTCAGCAACAATAGCCTTAATCCTTTACTGAACCAGACCTTGATCCTGTGGAAGCTATTGAGGCCAAATTCCTGTCAGTTTCTGTTAGAATCTGACCTAAAAAAAGAAAACAGGCTTGTGCTCTTAAGGGATCTAAAGAGTTCAGGCAAAGCTACTCAGACTGTGTGCAGCTTTGTAAGAAAGGCAACACCTTGGGAAGACTGTACTTAGTAAAAAAGAAGTTTGTGGCTGTGTATGAATAGGCTTGTGAGTTTCACTGCAGCTGCAGATGGACTGAGAAAATATGCTTGTGAATGAAAGATTTTATTTTACACTCCATAAGTTATGGAGCAAGCATGGCAATCAAAGGAATATCAGACAGTGCCAAAGATAGTAACCAAAGAATTAAATGCATTGCACCTTACTAGACTAAGGGAATAAGGAGCATGAAGAGGTATTCTAGTTGAATAGATTGTAATAAGGGGATCAGTTCTGGTAATACACATTCTAAAATGTTCCCTACATGGTTATCAATCCATATTACCAGCTTCTGTTTCAGTCAGAACAGGTATTATTTAAACATCTTTTCTTGTGTTTCTGTTTTTGGCATGGACACAACCTATTCACTCCACTGATGGCTTTCTTTATGCCTGTTACATTGTACCTGTCTGTTACAATTGAAGCCTCCTCAATTGTTCTTTTTCTCCATCTACTTACTTCCCATTTCTGTTGTCTGCTATGTTTCTCCTTGTGTATTTTTATTGTTGTGAAATTTATGTCTTTTGTTCGCCACTAAATTATTAATTAATACAGTGGTTTGAAAAGTAAAGATTCACCAGACTAATTTTGAAAAAACACCACTTCCTTTGCTCAGCGTCTACAGTCCCACCATTAATATTTTGCTGGGATGGTGTAGAACTATTAGTCCATATGAAAGTGTTTCTAGTTATAAAACATTTTTTCCTGCTTATTCAAATCTGTATGGTACTATATAAACCTTTGCCGATGTGCCAACATCTTATATTTCTCAAGGGCTCAATCCTTGCTGGACTTGGTGCAGCTGAGATGAGAGGGGAGAATATCAGTTTCCTTCTGCTATGGTTTTGAGTCAGTTTATATCAAAACAGTTTGGGAAGTTGGTGTGGAGGACCTCAAAACTGCCGCAAGTTAACACTATCGCCACAAGAGTGGATGATGTGTGCCACACTCCTGCACCTTCAGCAAATCCTCTGTAAAGACCAGAGAAGGTGTGAAGTTGGTAGTGCACTGCACTTGTATGTTTCTTGCAAGGAGCCAGAGAGGGGTTGAGAATCGAGTTACAATGTGTGAATGTACTAAAGATAAATCTAGATTTTGCTTGAGTGGCACATTTCTTTATGAACCCCCTGTTGCATACCACTCCCTGCATTCCTTTTCCTCCAGGCTGTCCTAAAGCAGGAGATCCCTAATGTTGCAGTGCCATTTTCATTAATGTGTCATACTGTCATCAAAGACTAAGATACACACATTTTCCAGGATTATTTCTTTTTCCAAATTATGTTTATAGTTTTTCACGGTCCAAGACACAAGCTTAATCCTTGTGCTACAAGTGTTTTAAGATGGTGTCAGTGAGACAAAATGACATTTACTTGAACTCTCATGAAATGCAGTTGCAGATGTGCCAATGATGTATGAAATGCAAGTTGATTGATGGAAGTCCAAAGCCACTTTGGGTTTGCAAGTGTTTCTTTTTAATTTTGACTCTCTAGAAACTGGTGAGGTTTATGCCTGTTTCAGCAATCTGCATTTACAGTTCTGCTGCGCTGTAGCTAAAGTGGTTTACAGTTGCTATTTGTAGATTCATAACAAAGTATCAGTTAAAGGCCAAATTGATGTATGGAAATGCAACTACTCTACCTCATGGAATATCTGTATTTTGCTTACATAATCTAAATATGTAGTGACTTCTGCCAAAATGCTGTTATTTAACAGCTTTGGAAGGATTGTGCTGGTTAGTCATGAGAACAATCCCATTTTGCTTTGAAAACAGGAAGCTGAATGATGCTGAGGAGGAGGAGTGGGAGAAGAGGAGCTCAGGGTGAGTTTTTCTACTCAGTTCTCTCAATCTGTTACTTTTACTGTATCTGTACCCGTTCTGTCTGTGAACTCCCAATGAGAGATTCTGATTCTTTTGTTTTCATTTAGTGGCATTAAAAAATTCCACACAGCATACAAAACAAATTTATTTTATTGCCCCAGTTGGCAGACAAGGTAACATTTTCTTTTGCCAATAAGTAAACATTGACTTTTTCCATTA